CCCGCTCACGCCCCGCGGTCCCTCGCCTCCTGGCGGGCGGGCGAGCTCTGCGGCGCGGCGCGGCGGCGGCGGCTCATTACCATAGACCTGCTCTCGCGGCCGCCGCCTTAAAGCGGCAACGCCGCGGCGCCGCGCGGTGGGCCCCACCCAGCGCCCTGTCGCACAGATGCTTTACGACTCCCGCCGGGTAGGAGTATTGACTCTAGTCCGCCAGGCGGGCCTTGTCCGGGGCTGGACCCCTGCTATGAAAGAGACAGTCAACAGGGAGCCAGACAAGAAATTATCAAGGTGGTGGGTGGTGAGGTTCTGTGTTTTTCCAGAACATTCTGAGGGACTCTCAGAGAGGAATCCCCAGTCCCCAGTCATAGCAAGCCTAAGAGCCTTCACGGCTGTCCCCTCCACAGAACCTAGGGCAAACTGAGTCCCACCTGACACGGCCTCCCTCAGACTTCAGAGAGACACCACAGGGAGAAGCCCTGAGGCTCCACGCCACTCCACAAGTTTGTGCTTTGACCAGGGTGCCTTTTGGGGTCCAGTTGTTAGATTACACCCAGGGTCTCTGTGTATCTTTGGCCCCTTTTTTATTATTTTATTTTATTTTATTTTTGCGGTACCGGAGATTGAACTCAGGAACTTGCGCTTGAGCCCCTGATTTTTTATTTTGAGACCAGTCTAGCTAATGATATTGTCCAGGTGAATTTGTAATCTTCCTGCCTCAGCCTCCTAGAGTTCTTGGTTTGCATATGCGACCGTGCCCCAGTCCCAGCCTCCTCTTGACCTCACTTAAGCTTTGCAGAGGAAGGGAATCTGGGAGGCCCAAAGCAGTAAATGTGCTAATAATACTAAATCTACAAGCCCTGTGGAGCTGGGAGAGGTGGCACACACTGTGAAGCTGAGGCCCGAGGACTAAAAATTTGAGCTCAGCTTTGGGCATTCAGTGACTTAGTGAGACCCTTGTCTCAAGACATAGCTCAGTTCAAAGGCCCGGGGTTAAAAGGCCAGGATTAAGAGAGGAGGGCAAGGAGGCCAGGGCAGGGGTGAGGGCACTTCTCCTGGGTCCTACCCAAGTGGACTAGCACCACCTGTGCGGTCTCTTTCTGGAAGGATGGCCTCTTGCCTGTTCCTTCCTTGCCTCCAGCAGTCAACTCCTATCCCCTTCCTTCTGTCCCTGTCCCGAGCACTTGGCTCTGGAATTCCATTACAGAGCAGGTCCATGGGACTTTCCCCTTAGGGCCACTAGTGAAGCCACTAAGAGACAGAAAAAGCCAGACAGGGGAGGCAGTGGGCCATGCAGAAAGGGCCTCCTCTCGCAGCCCAGGCCCTGGCGGCTGGTAGGAAGGAGGCCTGGGGTCTCTGCCACAGCTTTCCTCCTGCTCCCCACACTCCAGCTGTGTGACTCTGGCCAATTTCCTGTTTTATAAAATGAGAGGGTTGAATAAAGGAAATGGTTTTCAAACGCTTACTTAGCAGTAGACTTTTAAAAATTTAGACAGGGTCTCACTTCGTAGCCGGGCTGGCCTGGAATTTGTGATCCTCCTATACTGGCCTCCCAAGGCTGGGACTACAAGCGTGCACCACCACACCTGGCCTTCTCCCCAGTCATATCGAAGCTAGATGCAGACCCTGAAGTAGATGAGTGGTGCTCCTGGGATGCAGTGGGGGTTAGGCACTCTCAGCCTCAAAATTCCTGGCTGCTCCCTACGTCTTGAGGAGCTGCAGGACCCAGTGCTGGATGGAGCGCTCCCTTCCAACCCTGTCCTGGAGCCTCAGCCCTGGTGGGGCCTACCTTCTCCAGGCAGAACTCCCAAGGTGTCACTTAGTGATGCCAAGGGGGAGAAACCAGTTTTTCTTTCTCCCCAGGGAATTCTAAGAGGGGTTGGGCTGCTCCAGGCAATGGTGGGTGAGGGAGACAGAGAGCTAGCAGGAGGACCCCCACCCCATCCCCTCAGGGGCCTTCCCTGCCCTTTGGCCAAAGAGAAGCATTCTTCTGGACAGGCCAAGGGCAGCAGCAGAGATGAAGGGGTGGCTTAAGCAGCTCCCCCAGGGCTCCCCAGCCTGATTTGGGAGGATCTATCCAGGGGCTGCGTGGGCATTCATCTAATAGCCATGTAGTGCTGGGAATGCTTGAAAATTATACCATCTGTTAATTATCCTTTGAATTGGGGTTGGGTAATGAGACTCGTTTTCTGATGAAGGCCTGAGCCAATGCAAGGAGAAGCTGCAGCTTCCTGTTCATCCATCTCCCTTTGTAGCTAGAGACTTCCGGGTGGCAGACGGGGGCAGCCTTGGCGCTGGCCCATGGGATGTGGTTCTGGGACCCAAGCAGGGGTTGGCAGGCAAGGAAGACGTGAGCACCAGAGCCCCTCCAGGGCAGTGGCCCTTCTGGCTGAGGCAGTCATTCAATCTGGTTCTTCCCTTCATCCCCAAGCAAATAGCACTTAACCCCCTCCTGGCCTCACCCTAGGGCCACAGGATGAGAACCGAAGCCTCCTGCACTCTCCCTCCTACTTCTGGCTCCCAGAAATGGAAAGGAAACTTCCAAGTTGATCTGTGCCGCCTAGAGTCCTGCAGCCTGCTGGTGGTGAGACCCCCTGCGGAAGGAGTAGCCTCGGGACTTTCCAGCTGAGACCTCCTCCTCCCTGACAGAAAACCAACAGTGGGAGGCCCTGGAGTCTGATGAGAGGAATTTACCCTGCACTGGAGGCTGCAATGGAAAGTGACCTGCGAAGATGGCTCCGGGTTCTCCTGCAGCTCCGCGGGCCTTGCTCACTCCCAGCGCTTCCCAAGGGTCGGCCAGGCCTGCCCTGCGGTGAACATTCCCTTGGGTACAGCGTGGCTCTGGCCCTCAGCCAAATGGGGAGCTTGGCAAAATGCTCCAGGAACAACTGAGACAGAAAAGGCTAACGGAATTGAGCTAGAGAGACAGACAGAGACAGGGACAGGGATGGAGACAGAGGTCTCAGAAGACTTCCTAAAGACTGAAACTGCTTTCTAGAGTCAGGAGCAGCATTCCTGGCAAGAGGAATTCATCAGTAAAATTACTGAATTTCCAGGTTAAGTGTCTTCTCCAGGACTACACAACTGCAATTTAAAGCCAAGCCGGCTGGCTCCAGGATCGCAGCTCCTCAGCAGCAGTGCTCTCCCACTGAGGGAAAGCAAAGAAGGAACTGTGAGCATCGCCATACCTGGAGCCGAGCCTGGGGGATCTGTCGAGGCCCAGCACCCTGAAGGGGAACACAGGGCCGGCATCAGGAGGAAGCAAGTGAACTCCGGCTTGGGCAGAGCCCTGTGGGCTGAGATTCTGAAGCCAATGGGCTGCTGGGGGGCCAGCGGGGGGCGAAGGAGGGTGCTGACAGGCCAGGGCAAGGTGACCTTTGATGGAAGGCAGGGCAGAAGACAATGGTGGGAGTGGCACCGGCAGGCACCCAGTCCCATTTCTAGAGTGAGTTCTGCTTTTTTTTTTTTTTTTTTTTTTTTGCGGAACCGGGGATTGAACTCAGATCCTTGCGTTTGCCAGTCAAGCGCTTATCCTACTGAGCCATCTCCCCAGCCCTGAGTTCTGCTTTAAAAGGGCACAGAGCCAAGACTAGAGAACCTGGCCTTGTTGGGATCCCCAGTGGAGCAAAGGGACCAGGTCCCAGCAAAGGAAGCAAGGCAGGCGTGAGTGCCTTCCCTCCTGGCACTTGCCTGTGGCCCAGCATGCTGCGCCCTCCTTTCTTTACAGCTGGAGGGGTTGCTGAGCAGGTGGCCTCTTCTCTCCCAGCCCAATTCCAGCTCTGGGTGGATCTTCCTCAGAGTTTTGTGGCGTCTTGAGATTGTTCCCTCTCCAAACAAGTCTCCACTCAGCAGCCAAATACAGATTCTTCCCAACTCACAATGGGATTATGTCCTGATAAACTCACAATAAATATATAAGTGGAAAATGCACTTACTGCACTTAACCTCTAAAATGCCATGCAGTAGCCCAGGCAACCCTAACCAAGCTCAGGGCGCTTGCGCTGGCCCTCAGTTCTGCAGGACCATCCAACGCAGAGCCAGTTTTATAATGAGGTTGAGTATTTCATGGAATTTATTAAATTGTCGTGAAAGTGAGAAAATACGATGGCTGTATGACTCCATGTTCAAGCCATTGTAGAAACTGAAAAAGTGCAAGCCAAACCATTGTATGTTGGAGTGCATACTTTTTTATGTGAATTTTATTGAGCAAGAAATAGCAATGAGACAGTTTGAAAACAGGTTAGTAGGACAGTTACGATAATTAATACATTGCATATTGTTGTCTTCCTAGGGAGTCGGTACTTTTTAAAAACTAACACATAAGGGGCCGGGGAGATGGCTCAGTAGGATAAGCGCTTGACTGGCAAACACAAGGATCTGAGTTCAATCCCCGGTTCCGCAAAAAAATAAAAATAAAAATAAAAAATAAATAAATAAAAACTAATCCACTAAGAAGAATATATGCAGTGTATTATTTGTTGAAACTGTACTTCCGATTTGATTTGAAACTGTCTCATTGCTATCTGTTTATCAATAAAACTGTAGGAAAAAAAAAAAACCTAATACATAAGGTGGTGACATTAGCTTGGTGGTAG